CCCTGACATTCTGTGATTGTGTGATTCTGTGTTATGTCAGGCCATGCAGTATGTGTCTAGTGAGGATAGTCTATGTAAGAGAAATACTGTCTCTTGTTCCGGAATAACAGAACAAAAGATACTGCCATTTGGGTTTCATGAGAAACTTGGCTTGTTTTTCAGATTAAGAGAATGCCTTTAGAAGATCTCTTTATGCTATCTTAATAATTAATTGATTTACTTAAAATAACATCCGAATATTTTTTTGATACTATGCTTTCTTGTGAAACTCTGACTTCAAGAAACACATAGAAGCATCTAGATGCAGTAAGAGAGGGAATGAGAATGACTTTGTCACTCACTGCTTAGAAGGAATGTTTGAATTATATTTACAGAATCATCAGTGAACTCAGTCACTAAGAATAGCATGTGATTGTTTTATTTAATTCATGAGATTGTCTTCTGGACAGGAGCTCTTAAAAACGTGCGTTTCTAAGATGCTCATGGAAATTCACAAACTGTTTATCTTTCTTTCACAGACGAAGTTTGAATATCAGATGAGTCTTGAACCAATAAAGCAAACATGCTGTTCGCCATTAAAACAAGACACCTGCAAAGTCCTTAAGAATGAGCCTTGTGGTGCACGCTTCGGGACTGCGATTGCTGCAGTGAAGGATCTCAACCTTGATGGATATAATGACATTGTAATAGGTTCTCCCTTAGAGGATGATCATCGGGGAGCTGTTTATATTTATCATGGCCGTGGCAACACAATCAGTAAAAAATATTCTCAGGTAAGAAGTAAAACTCTGCAGATTGGCAGCCTCTGTAAGTGTTGTAGCACAGATCCTGTTTTCCCATGTCTTCCCAACATAGTATCAAACTGTGATTTAACCTGTCATGACAGCATCTTTTTTTAAAATGCTCTGTACTTTTGAATTCATACTGATTTAACCAAATTTGGCTCTAGGTTCCTTCCAACCCCTAGCATTCTGTGATTCTGTGTGATTCTGTCTAATATTGTTAGAAGACATATTTGCATGTTTTTAATAGAAACTTTCTGAAATGTTCTGTACGGTCAGCAAAGTAGATATTTTGCAATTCTGAATATTTATAGTGTGTTCATCACCATGGTAACCATTTTAGGAATATTGTAATGCATATTCAACGTACTTAAAAGAGTTCAAAAGCCATCTAACACGCCTTGAATGTTCTTGTAAAATTCTTTCATGTGCACTGCATAAACCTCTTAATGCTTTTCACAGCGTATTGCATCAGGTGGAGATGGGGAAAAAGTGAAATTTTTTGGCCAGTCTGTTCATGGACAAATGGATTTAAACGATGACGGCTTGATCGATGTCACCATTGGAGGCCTTGGTGGGGCTGCCCTCTTCTGGTACGAATACTCACAGGGGCTTTCAGGCCAGAAAATAGCTATTTGCCTTGGGATAGCAATGTAACTTGTGCACTGTTGAGACTGATGTGAGGAAACTCATTTCACCTCATGCTTTGACACTAGCTGTGAATCTTCATATTTTCATGTCTCTCTGGAGGAACGAGTGTAAAATTTAACAGATAACGGTAATAAATATGGGAATGTTTTAGAAGTCTTTTTAACCTGGTATGAAGACCTTTTCTGCCTAGACCCTGTTCAAAATAGAAACTGATTCCACTTGTGAAACTAGGTGAAACAGAAAGAAAACCTAAGTGTTCTTTTTTTACACTACATTTCATAGTATTATATTAGAGACACCAAGGACAGGTTCAAATATAAAGGGTCACTAAGAAAAGTCATTTGACTTCCTATTAAAAAACTCCAGCTTGACTCTCTATAGAACATCTTGGGAAAATTCAACCAAACTTTCTGGTTAACACTGAGTTAATTTTCTTTCTAAAAGAGCATAACTTTTTAAGGGAGAAGGGAAAAATACCAGTAAGAGAAGTAAACAAGATAACATGTAATCTCTAAAGCACAGCTAAAACTATTTCTCTCTCGGGTAAAGCAATTATTAAGCCAACTCCTTGCTTTGCATGTCCTGCTGTTCCAGCTAATAACTTGTTAGGTGATTGTCAGATCTTGCTACCATCCTCAAGCTGCCAGCTTTTCACCTTCATTTGGTAGTTCGTGTTGCTAAAAGCTGCATGTCTGAATCCAATGAGATGCCCCTTCACTGTATCAGTTTGATCATGAATACAAAGAAAGCTATTTCACCAGCTAAATTTTCTGCCTGTTTAGTACACTGGCAGACTTCATCCCAAGGCACAAAGGGAACGGCAGCAGAGCAAAGTGAGAGGCAGAAATGAATTGCAGGAGCAGGGGCGAAGTGGAGTTAAAGCGAAGCACGTTGGTAGTGAATCTCAGCCTCTTTGTCTACCCTCTGACTTGTGTAAAATAATGTATTCATCTGTGGATACCCTAGAGAATGGGTCTGGGCCTTCAGCCTCTTTTAAAATGATACTAGCTCTGTAGAGTTGCTTACATGCTTTTGAAAATATTTCCTTTCATCTGGTATGTGTTCTGAAACATACAGCACTATGGGGAACCCTGTGGCCATTTTCTCTGTAATTTTTTGTATATTGGTACCATGTATAGTTAATTACTTATCTAGACCATCACATATGTGCGTTTTAATGTTGGATGTTGCACATTTTATGAGGTTATTCTTAAGCTGAAAAAGTTGCTGCTGTTACTTTAAAGTCACTTTCTCTTTTTGTGTTTTTGTTAAGGTCTCGTGATGTGGCTGAAGTAAATGTTTCCATGCAATTTATACCTAAAAGTATTAATATCCAGCAACAAAATTGTCAGATAAATAAAAGAAACACAATATGCATAAATGCCACGATTTGTTTTAAGACCAGACTAAAGTCAAAGGAAGATACATTTGAATCCAGTAAGTAGATAAGCACTAAGCTACAGAATCTTTATAAAAATGCTATGCTCACATTCATTTATTTCTCCAGAAAATGGAATGCTACTCTTCTAAATTTACTATTCAAAGTGCAGGAAAAATGAATGTGTAGATGCAAGTTGGTTCATAGTATGATCTCAACTTCCTTTGCAGGTCTGCAGTATTGGATTACTCTCGATTCACAAAGACAGATATCTCGAAGCTTGTTCATAGAAAGCCATGAAAGGAAAATGCAAAAAAATATAACTATCAGAGGGTCAGAATGTATTAAACATAACTTCTACATGTTGGCAAGTAAATCATTTAAAGTATTTTTTTCATGGTGACATTATAACTCAAATTTATTCCATTAATTGTAAATTGGACAACAAAATCTGCATCCAGATTTAATTTTAAGAGTACATACATACTTAGGACTTCTGTATTTTTACATGTGTATAAGTATAAACTGTTTACCTATATGTACAGTCTGTTTACCCTTGTCTCTTTGTTTTTGTCTGTCTTAACAAAGAGCATAACACACTTAGTGGAACCAAACAGCTCTTGTGCAGCTCTTGTGCTTTAGGTACATTATGGAGCATGTGCGCTGGAGGCACATTGATGCAATTTCTCCTACTAAAATATAGTAAAAAAAAATATCATATTAGGTTTGGGCTAGAGAGTACTTATTCACCACAAAATAGAAATCAGATTAGCTACTGTGAGCATGTAATTGCCCAGATTGTCATTAATGTGCAGAGTGAATGGAGATGCATGTTATAATCTACCCATATTTAAAATGTTTAATGACTTCGCAGTTGTGACGTAATTCAAAACTAATGATAAATAATGCCCAGGATTTTCAGTATAACTCCTAACAGGAGGCCTCAGTTTGACTTCACACAATGTGGTATCGCTACCACATATTATTGGTCCTTTAAGCAGAAGTGAAAGAGGAAAGTCTATGAGTTGACTGTTCTGAGACATTCTTAAACGAAATTGTGTTGGATATGCCCAGACTATGAGACATTTTTATAATGAGGTGAGATGCACAAAAACATTAGTAGATATTTGTAAGGATTAAATGCTTTATCATCAGTTATAAGCATTCAAATGCTTCTCTAGCAAGGATGGTGACAGTGTGACTGAAAAACACTTTAGTTCAGTGTTCTTTCGGGTTTTTTAACTTCCTTAGGTATTAAAGTGAATGTCCATAACAGCAATTTTGTTTTCTTTATATTCTAGGATAAGCCTGACTTTCAGGACTCTGTAAAGGTTTTGCTGGAGTTCAATTTTTCTGACCCAGAGAGTGGACCTGTTCTTGACAGTGACCTGCCAAACTCAGTATCTGAATATGTAAGTCAGCAAGATTCTGTATTAATAACTGAAGTATTTAAGGTAAAATGCATAGCATAGCCCACACAAGAGCTAAAAGTACTGTCCACAGATTGGCTAAAGAGAGAGGGTGGTTGAACCTGTCCAAAAGATGTTTCCTCTAAATGAATCTTGAGGAGTGAGAAGTTTGGTTCAAGGTGCTTGGGAACCAGCCTGGGATTTTAAAGCTGTTCCAAATTAACTGAAGACAGAAGAGAGTACAAGCAATTTTGTTGTCATTTTTTACATAAATATAGCAGGGGAATGCTAGTAATTTACTGTGATGGTACTTGGCATCATTTCTACTGTTTCCTCTTTTTCTAATCTAGATTAATCACTTGGAAGGGAATGAGTAGGAAGTTAAGTTTCATCTGTGCATTTTAAAGAATATTAGAATGTTTAACTGGTTAATATTAGGGAAGACTTCTCTGACTGTGAAATAGAAGAGCTTATATAAAATTAGATAATGAACTAAAATGCAAATATTTAATATTAATAATAAATGTAATAAAAATTAGTATAAAAATACTGTTGTTGCAGATTCCTTTCACAAAAGATTGTGGAGCCAAAAATAAATGCATTTCAGATCTTGTTCTGAACGTAAAAGCAAGCATAGCTGGAGACAGGTAACTACATTGGGTTTATTGTATCACTTGATATTTGTACAAAATTTCCATGTAAATTATAATTTTGATAGTCTAATAAGATGGTACGGTGTGACATAATTTCCATATCAGAAACAATATAGTCCAGACTCTGAAGAAAGTTCCTCTTCGTGTTGAAAACAGATTCAAAATTTAAAGTGTCCAACATTTTTACTTTCTTTTACAGCTCTTCTCCATTCATTGTGAAGTCACGCAGCGATAAGTTCACCATCCAGCTCTCTGTGAAAAACAAAAAAGACAGTGCCTATAATACTAGAGTTTTGGCTCAATATTCTCCAAATATTATTTTTGCTGGCATTGAGGTAGGAATTTTTCACATTATTGCATTTATCTTAACCTGTATTGCTAGAGAGATCTGATGAAGCCTTTTTATTAAGACTGAATTTCACTGCTCTGACATTATCACAGTTGAAGACATTCCCTGGGAGTTCTGCCCTCTCTTATACCTCTAAAAGAGCGTATTTATTTTGACGTGACTGGACTCTTGCCTAGCCTGCATTAACTCTAGACACAAATTTCACAACAGCACTTAGAGAGAAAGTGCCTGAATCTTAGAAGAACGTCAGCACCATGAATCATCCGCACATCTGTAGAAGCAGAAATGCCTCATTATTCATCAGTACAGCTCCCAAGCCTCTGGAATTCTGCTTCTGAATGTGTATAAGAAAAGTACTGTCTTAGTAGGGCTGCACAAATCAGCGCCTGCCTCATCCCTACCTCAGACAGGATTTCCAAAGTAGCTGTTGTTACTGCCTGCTTCAGCAGATGTGCTGTGAATTCACCTCACTTAAGGTGGTAAACATTGGGAGAAGTTTTCTATCAACAGTCCTGATGTTGCACATTAGGAGAAGTCAGGAACCCACAGCATTGTTGTTGAACCTGTGGCAATAATTTATGGAGCATGAATGTCACTTTTATTGCTGAGGTAGGAACATATTTACAAAACTAGCTATAAAAGCTCTATTCATATACATATGTTGATCTGCTAGACCCTGTGACTAATTTGCATGATGTCCAGTGTGTATATAATCGCTAATGTTCCTTTTGGTGGAAAGGAATAATGACTACTAATTAACGTAGATGTCCATAGTAGAAATTGTTTTGCAGAAATTGTGGCTTCCTATTTTTGTTCCAGGTCAATTAAGGCTTTGACTCCTACAATGTTTTGATAGTGAAAAGTGAAAATGGTGTGCATATGTTCAACACACACTTCATGCTTAGTCAAAATTTAAAAAGAATTTGCACAAGATCATGATTTTACATTTCTTTTCCTTTAGGATATACAGAAAGATAGCTGTGAATCTAATCATAACATCACTTGTAAAGTGGGATATCCATTTCTAAAAACTGCAGAAGAGGTAAAAAGTCCCCCTGCATGCACATTCTTGCTCCATGTTGTTCTAAGGCTGAGGAAGTACCTATCACTTCCAAATTTCTTTTCTCTTGTGTTCACCCCGAAACCTGTCCATGTGTGTGTCCCAAGCTACCTTTGACATGAACTGCACTGAGCCAGATAGGAAAACATCAGATCTTCAGTAGCTGGACAGCCAGCTGTGGTGTGTGGAGAGTTAACAGGGGCATGTTGCCATCCCTGACACTGTCAGAAGACACCTGGCCAGAGGGATCTATCTCCAGATGTATAGGGTATTGGTTAGGATATGCTGATAAAATGTTAGATACTGCGGCTTTCCACAGGTTGAACCCTATGTACATAAAATATAGTCAGTTAGTTGAATAGAGAATAAGCTGTCATGTGGAAATGCTAAACTGTATCTGACAGAGCCAGTCTTCAAGACTCACTATGCTCAGTGGTGAGTGAGTGGTCTTTCTAGCAAGCAGTCTACTTAAAATCAAGCTCTATCCAAGAGATACAGCTCCAGTGATGCGTATCTCCTGCCGGAACAGAAAGGGAGCTTTAGCTAAACTAAGCTTTTGAAAATATACATTAAAGCTCCACTTAAACAGTTACGATATTGAACTGGGAAATATCAGATTGTGTGCCAGTAAGACCAACTGTCTTCCCTGACAATTTATTTCCTGTTCCTCTGTCACACCAAGTCTGTGTTGCAGATGCATAACAGAGGGAGGATCGGGAGAGACGTCCTTTTATATCTCCTCCCACATACTTGTTCCAGCTTGTGTCTTGTAGCAATTAAGTCAGCTGTCACTTACTTGCAGCCAAACAATCATACTACCCAGTGCCAGTACCTACAACGCTCCATGCCCAGCTTTACAGGATTTTTCACATTTTACTTCCATGCTTTGATTGTTAGTTTGTAGCTATAGATCCATACAGTTAGAAATTTCATACTCTCTTTTCATTCAGAAATCAATTAATCTCCGATTCATTGCCAAGCATCCCTGATACATTCCTTTTCAAAGCCTCATCCTGGCTCTTTTTTTCTTTTTATGAATATGAAGATATAGCTCTGGGTCACTTTGTAGTAAAGATTTGTACCCATCAAAGGAACAATAAAAGTCTGGGCTAAAAAATCCTGTAAAGTAAGAAATAGCAAAACTTTTGCTTCATATAAAATCACACTTAGGTGTTAGGAGGTACATGTTTTGGACAGTGTTCCCAAATTTTGTGTAGTGCCAAATTGTGAGAGATTTGCTCTAGTAGTCGTTTATTTACTCTGTAAACATTTCTGTTTGGTATTCCAAGTGTTTTCCTATATATTAAGTGAAATTTGAGCAGCCATCTGTAGATGGCTCATCTCCACAGTAATTGCCAGGCTTTGAATCTTTTTTTCTCATTAGAGAGAAAAAAAAATTGTTTTGATAAATTGCTTGCAAGATCAGTTGTTTTCCATTAAGAATAATTTAGCTATGTATTCCTAGTATACTATATAGTATATAGTAAGTTTTGCCGAGGCTTTTTATTTCTGAAAATTAGATTTCCTTCTTGGCTGGAACAAATTCAAAAAAGTGGATTCATTCATAGAAAACTGTTAAAATTTGTATAAGGAATCCATAGATAAAAGTTGCAAAAATTTGATAATTTTTCATAAGATCAAACTTAGTAGTTTGGCTTTATTTCTTTTTTTTTTCCTTTTCAATGTGTAATGTATTTCACTGAACAGATTTCCTTCAGAATATCATTCCAATTCAACGCATCGTATCTCATGGAAAATGCTACTGTTCATGTATATGCAACAAGGTTAGTTGCTATCACTATTTATTTAGCTTCTGATTTTTTCTTTCTTCTTACAAACCTCTACAGCTTTGTGTTTCATAGTAAAACAAGGATGACTTTACTGAACTCATGAGCGATTAAGCTATCCGTAGAACTGGCACTCAGTACAGCACTAGACTGAGTGGACTAAATGAATAGCTGCTTGTTTCTAGAGCCTCAGAGACACATATGAGTCATAATTTCCAGTAGTTTTGCCTTCAGAAAAGGTTTATTCTCTTACAAAATTATTGCATACTGAGGCATGAATCCGATTTTATACTAAACAAAAAGGCCTGGCCTTCAAAGAGAAAGAACATTGCAGAAGTTGTCTGTGGTAAAGGAATGCGCTTGCCCCCAGTGTCCCTGCAAAATCCAGGGATGGATGAGAATACTGGCACTTACCTGGTCCTTTTTCATACAGTCAGCTACAGCCTGTAATGTTAACAAAGATGCATTGTGGAGCTGGGACTGGTGCAGGACTTAACTTTTTACTTTCTGGAAATAGTCTTTTGAATTTATTTTTAGGAGATAGTAATTAACTGGAAATGAATACTGTGTTTTCATTTCCAGAGCCTGCACAGCCTGATCTGACTGGCATTTGTTGTTTTATTTTAGTGACAGTGAAGAGCCACCTGAGACCTTGAGTGACAACAGAGGACATGTTACAATTCCAGTAAAATATGAAGTAGGATTAATATTTGTGAGGTATTTATGCTTCTGTCTGCCTTATTTGCTGGAACAGTAAATAGCAGGTGTTGAAAGAGAACATAGTGTTGTTTTGTTGTTGAGCTGTGCTCAGTATCTACAGGTAACAGCTTCTAGGCTTATGAACAGGAAGCACAGGCTTCATTGAAAAGAGCAGTTACGTGACACAATGGAGCAGTTACTGTCCCTGTCTTGCTGTTTCTCCATTTTATCTATTTAAATTTGATCTGCAGTTTGCAAGTACAACAGCAGCTTTTGTTGATTCTTGTACTTTATTCATTCAAAAGTGTTTCAGATACGTAAGAATGCAAATACTTCCATCTTCTAATGGTCATGAGTTTGTGTCACTATAATATTGCTGTGGTGTTTGATTTCCAGCTTCAAAAATTAGCCTTAATTTTAGATTCTCAAGAGCTTTGTTTTATCACTTCAGACATAAACTTTTAGGCGGGTCTTGTAGTACATTTTATTTTCAGACATTTCTAGCTATTTCTGTTAAATTTCTGTTTTCTGTGGATTTCCACACCTGAAAAACATTATAAATATTATCAGAAAAACTACATTGTTAGGTGCATGGGTGTAAATAGTTAAGTAAAATTCATTTTGGTTGCATTTCATGGTTCAAATATAGCCTTTGTTTGTCCCACTGGGAATAAGGTTGAATTCCGAACATGCTAGTTGTTTTTTGCTTTTGACTTGGTTCTGTCTTTTATAGGACCCTTCCTGTTTCATAGAGCAATATTGAGGATGAGTGACCGCACAGCTAGAATAAGAACAGCAAAATCAGGCACTGATGTATTATTTTGGGGAACAATATTTGCTCATTTTGTAGTTTTATCTGAACAAAACCATTTTAAATGAACATAATAAAAAGTGAGTACTACATGGAAAATGGATGAGTTAAACCTCAGTGGAACTAGCAGTAGAGTCTTAATTGCAAGATTAGACCTGGAGGATTTATGAAATAATGAAAAGACCTAATTAGTTACTGCTACATATTTTTATGATATTTGTGTGTTTACTGGCATTTTTCTGTGTCTTTTTTTTTAATCTACAGTGTTTTCAAAGAGCACCATGTTATAATTTCAGCGAATGATACTATACCTACTGCTATTAACACAACAGAGCAGATTGGAGATGAAGTTACTCTACACTATAGGGTAAAAACCAATTAAAACTGTATGATATAGTGACGGTCTGCATATTTTTTTTTTCATTTGGTTTGAATTGCTTAATGTGGTAGCTTATTACTTAAATAGCAGCTATTTAATATGTTAAAACTTCTACATGCGTATTTTGTGCTTAATATCTGGTTTTTTCTTACTTGCTTTGGAATAAGGTAAGTAGTTCTAGTGGAATTTAGAGCTGCTACCCTCATGAAAGAGAGCATGCCCTGGTAAATGAGAATTGTTCTACGCCCATTGCAGTTGGAACAGATATTTCCCAAATCCACTCAGTTTTGAAAAAGGCAAATGCCATGCTCCAACAATGTTGTCTTCCTAATGGAATTAATAGAGCAAACTAAAATCACTCCGGAAAGATACCTAATGTACTAGGAGCTCAGCCTCAAGTTGCAGCAGGACTAAATTTAGTTAGCTTGAGAGCATCCATGTTTCCTAGCATCAAATCCAAAGGTGAACAAAGGTCCCATATAGAAAGGGTAAAAGTCTCTGAATCAACTTCTGTCTGTAAAAAATGTGCGATGGAAAGTTCTCACTCTCACTAAACAGCAACGGTAAGGGGTTGGGGTTTTTTCTACTTTTTAACCTACTTACAGTGTTTTACTCAGCTGCTTTTTTTTTAAGTCTAAAAGTTCAAATCCAGTAATCTCAAAGTTTTTTGTGGATGTTTAAGACACTTATTTCAAACCTTTTCTTTCTGAATGTAAAAACTAGTGGACTGCAGAGCATACCATTTATGATCTCATAAGCAAAACTTAAGTTTGCAAGCTCATCACAAAGGAGTGGTGAGAAGAAAAAAGTTAAACAGATTCCTGAGTATTTTTTAGACTCGTCCACTTCAGAGCGGGGATCACCGATTTCCATTCCAGTAGTTCTACCCAGGCATTTTCTTCATTCTTGGCCACAGCAGGCCTGGTCAGAAGGAGCAGCAGGTTACAGATAGGTGTGATCTTCTCAGGGAAAACAAGGGAGAGGAGCATGTGAGCAGGAGGGCTGTTGCCTAAGCATACCTGAGGAGAAACTGATACAGTGGCTCCTCTCCCATGCTAAAGCATTTTGGGGGCTTTACTAAAAACTGATATGAAATGACCCCACATAGAAGCCCCAGATGGTAAGAGGATGCAGTGAACAAGATAACAGGAAGAAATTTATGTAAAAATGGCCCTTTTCATCCTGCTCATTTGACTTCCTTCAGTAGAGGATTGTATTACCAAAGACACAGGAGAATGTGTCTGCTAATTCACAACAGGCTGTTCTTGGGGAAAAAATAAGAGTTCATTGTACCACTTTTGTGTAACCGACTGTGGAAACATTAAAAAAAAGCAAAATAGAAGAAATTAAGAGCACAGGGAAGAAAAAAACCCACAATCAAATACCAACAAAATAAGAAAAGTATTAATCAAAACATTTTTCTTTTTTTTTATAGATTGAAAAGGGTGAACACTTTCCAATGCCAAACCTCACACTGCAGATCTTATTTCCCAACGTAACAGCAGCCAGGAATACTCTTCTCTACCTTACTGCATTGTCACATTCCCAAGTAAGCTAGGAATTTCTATTTTTATAATTAATTTAAATTTGAAATGCAGATACTGCTTTAGTCTAAAAGATAACATGCTGGTGTTTTAAGAGTAGGTACAGATGTGCAAAAGAAGGCAGATAAATTTTCTTAAACGGAAACAAGCAAATTTAAAACAGTGTTGAACAATAACTGGACTGTAACAAGGTTAATTTGCTATATTGCCACATGATGAGAGTTTCAGACTGAGATATGAGTGACAGGACCATCTTTCTTAGTTTTGCTTACTGAGCCTCAGATTACATCCATTGTTAGTCGTGCTTATCGCAAAAGCTCTTGTCCTGCTGTGTACATCTAGAGCTCAATCTCTTGTTCAGTTTTCTTCTTTCTCTTACTGGAATTAGCCTTCCTGCACATCTGCTCTGCAGCACTAGAAATAATCTTCCTTCTCTGGGGCACTGACATATCTTGAAGGGGATGGTAGGTCATGTGTTTCAAATGCTCTTCACTGCAGCCCTCATTTGAGTTTTTCCATTTCACTCCTCCAGAGCAGCTGGAGATCACAATTCCAGTAAGTCCCATGATTCCAGATCTGTAGATACTAAAACTAGAGCTATATCAATAACTGGATGGCTGAAGAACCCAAATATCACAAAGTTGTGACCAAAACTGGTCTTTCCCTCAGAGACACACACGTATAATGCACCTCTCTCCAAATATTTCACTTAGTTTTCAAGTGTACTTCACTGAAAAGTAAACCGAATGGTCTTAAATGAAAGTTTAAGGTTCTCTTAAAACAAAAATATCCCAAACAACCCAAAATTTCATGTTTAGAATACAAAGAAATTGTATTCTGTTCTTAAATTCCTTCCCCTCTTACTTTCATTCCTAGTCAATCACCACATTTGACCCATTTGCTCAGAAACTCAACAATCTGCTTCTACTGTGGGTATAATTCATCTACTGCTAGACACACCCTAGCAGTAGTGACAGTCATGTGCCAAAGTGCACTGAAGGAGGTCTTCAGTCATCTTCATGCTAGTAATCTGAAAGTGAATTACCTGACTGGAAAAAGAGACCGAATGATTTCCCAGATACCTTTGAAGGAGCCGTGGTGGTCTAGCAGTGCTCCAGCACCCATTCCCCGTCCCTGGGTGCTGCAACAGAGGCTCCTGAATCCTGCACTTAACCTGCCTGTCTGCTTGCTAAGGCAGAACATCTAGGGATTCCCATGCAAAAGGTATTTAGCTCTTTTAATAGGCAATGCTGGCTGGTTCATGTAGTGGTCAACTTTCAGGAAGCTCTTTTTTGCTTCTACAGATGTTTAAGTAGCTGGGTAGAGTTTAAGTTAAATTATCTCATAAAAGCTCATTTGTTGTTTGAATAATGATACCTCAATACCTACAGCATCTGAATTTCCTATTCTGCACTCTTACAATATGTGGTTTTAGTGTAGTTAGTGGTTAGTAAATATTATGAATGTTATTAAATATTAAATATTATTGATGTTGGCTTGTTTCCAGAGCATATTTTGGTAACAGATTGCATATTCAGACAATAAGAGTAATACTTGTATTTCTGCTAACAGAATGCCATCTGCCAAACTAGTTACCCTGTAGATCCCTTAAAGATTAGTGCTGGGAAATCATTTGTGCTGCCAAAAATAAAAGAACCTACAAAGGATACAATTATGGTAAGCCTACTTATAGTATATATATTCATAACAGATATTAACCAACTCTTGAAGCTGAGTACTTCCACATTAAATATATATAATAGCTTCTCTCAAACTGTAGTCCATGGAAACCCACTTTGTCTTGATAGCCTGAAAAGCAATCCTTATGTAGACTAGCTATAGTTTTTGTTTGGTTAGAAAACTGTATGTGAAAATGAATTTGGAGTGTGTTTTCTTCTTAATTTAGCAAATGTGTGAATAACAGTAGCACGTCTGGCAGCTGAATAAATGTTGACCTTCTATATTCCCATTGTAATTAATAAATAGTAATATTTTAAAAGCTTCTTGTATCACTTGCAACTTTTTTAGACATGCAGTTGAAAATACTTTCAAATGCTAGCTCCCTGACCTGAGAGATTCTTCATGTAACTGGTAGAAATGTAATTGATGATCCCATTTGGAAAGGATTAGCCTCTCACATTTAGATGGAAGAAGCACAAAGTCATTTAGATACCACAGTTATGTTGCATGTTGGGTGAAAACTGTCATACTACCTCCTCAGCAAAGAGGTACAAGTTGGCTTTCTAGTGCAACTGAATATATGGCATGAAGAGAGCGTTTTGCCATGTGCATCATAGTCCTTCACGGAGGTGATAAATGTCTAGGCTAACCAAATACTCCCAAAGTGTTGAACATAATTCTGCTGCCCTCCCAGCTAGCAAGTGATGCTGGGATATAAAGGTACTTAAATTTTCACACATGCATCCTGCCCTGCTTCAGAGGTTCAGGTGTCCCAGGATTTGAAAGTATCAAGAAACACTGCAGAGAAGCCATAGCTGTACTAACAGAAAAACACCTGCTGTTGCAGGCTGTGTCTCCTTTAGGAGCTCTGCGGATGCCTTTTGCTGTGTACCTACAAGAACAGAGCTTCCTGAAGGCTAAGAAATCCTGCAAAACACTAAGTCTGTTCTACAACAGCACAGATATCTCAACATGTTACATATACTGCAGCATCATTTTTACACAAAAAACTCCAAAACCAAAACCAGTAATTAATGGCAGTTTAGTATTGGTGTCATAGCAAGTCTATGATCTGTATATATAATAGTGTATATGGTTTTATTCTGGTAATGTGAGAAGTCTCTTCTTATTAATTCATGCTGGTGCCTTTTAAACAGGACTGTGATACATACAGTTGTGCATCTATTAATTGTGCCCTGGTCCCATCTGACATATATCAAGTGAATGTCTCGTTAAGAGTATGGAAGCCTACTATTATAAAAGTAAGTAAATCCCATTTGCATTCAGAATGCTCTTGGGTCCAAAAAACTTAAGCCAATGTTTCTAATGCCTATTAGAATCACACTTTTCTGAAGTATCCACAGATCCCTACTATTTGAAATTATTTCTCTTGCTAATTTATAATTTATATGCATTTTATTCTCCTTAAAGTAAGTACTTAGAACTTAGCAGAAATTTCAAAGCATAGTAAGAAGACATCCCTACTAATTCTGTATTGATGATCCTTTTTTAATATCTATGTATGCATCCACAAATTCTAATTCAGCAGGTGTGAAGATGGGTACATAGAAGCATATAATTTTGAAATAAGTTTTAATCTGAAAATATTAAATCTGTCTTATAAACAGTGGTATATGTGCTGAAAGTGACACAAATGAGCAGCTTCACAGACTTTCACCTTTTTCAGCATCTAAAACATTAGCATTAAGTTTTGCTTTCACCCTTCTCATTTCTGTAAAACTTTCTACTTCAAAACACCTATTTATAAACCATCTTCTTTTTTCTTCCAGGCAAGTATTCACAGCTTGACCCTTGTTGTGAAAGCATTACTTAGGAGTGAGAACTCATTGCTGGTTTTGAGAAATGACCATGAAAAACTGGAGGTAAGAACATGATAATTTATGGATTTACTCTTCATAGGTTTTCTTGTGTTACTCTATCAATTCATTCATTACTAGTGATCTGTTTGTTACCTGTCGTGTTACGTTACTCTAAGGGAAAATAATTTCATACTACAGTAGACATGTCAGAATTAGTCAGATGATGATACTAAAATCCCACTACTCACCGATGTGCCTGGGTAAGAAGTGCTGCCTGCTGCAGTAAAAAGACTTTCTATAGCTATGTAAATTAAAAGCATAATTAAATAGTATTTTAAAACAGTATTTTTAAAATTGTGCTGGGTCATTTAGAAGTGACCTTACCTTGTACATTTTATTTTCTTTGTTATTTCTGTATCTGTTATTTATTTCCACTTCATTACCCAGGATATATATTTGAAACAGGATCTTTTATTTTTCAGAAGTTCACTGTCTTTTTGTTAGATAAGAAAGTATGTAAAATTATAGTAGTGGTCTCATATAAAGATAAAAAGAGGAATGTCTTTCATTTTGTTAGAGTTGTTATTTATCCTTTAATACTCTTTATTCCCCCATATTTAAAGTGGTTAATGCATTGCTTTTCTGTGATAACTCATACATTCAGGTACTTGTTTCCTACAATGTACATTTTTAAGCAAACTTCTTATTCTGTGCTATTATTGTTAATACCCCTGAAATGTAGAACAAAGTGATATGCAAAATATTGTGCAAAATATTTTTGGAAATATGAACATCACAGGTCAACTGGTGCTATTAACTGGTATTAGCTGGTATTTTATGCAGGCATTTCTTTTAACTAATAGACTAAAATTCAGTTTGGGAGTGGAAACACAGCTGGGAAGTTTGCAGATCAGGAGAGCCAAAAAATTTCAGAATTAACTTTAAGGCATAGTTTCAAGTTGAATGTTTACTGTATAGTTCTCCAATGCTTTTTTTAACTATAAAGTTGTGACTCTAATTTAAATTAAAATAAATCAAACTTATACACGGTCACGTTTGTTTAAGTGTGAATATTCCTTATTTCAGTTTAGTTTACACCAGATATGCCTGATTTAAAATCAAAGTAGTATCTACATAGGCTGTATATTTATCTCATTTAATTGGTTTAGAAGCATGTTAATCACTTCCACCTTTCAGGGAGGCAGGTATTGAGTGATGAAGAATATGTAATAAACTCGTTAAGACACACTTCGAATACTCACTGTTTTGGTCCTGTATCCTTTATAACATTGTCTACTGACTTATAGCAAAGCCGACCCTCACAAAATTAATGCACTTGCAAGGTGCAAGATACTATGCACATTATAGGGTTTCATGCTGGAGATTATTTTTTCAACTCCCTTCTACAAATTCCTTAGAATTAAATGATACCCCAGAAAATCACTGAATGCTGATAAAAGTTATGCTGCTCTGTTGATATTTTAGAATGACAAGTCATTTATTGTTTACATTTTGAACACTTTGCAGACTATGATTAAGATTTCCAAAGAACTCCCACCGGGTACAGTCCCCTTATGGGTTATCCTCCTGAGTATCTTCGCCGGACTCTTGATTCTTGCACTGCTTATATTTGCTTTGTGGAAGGTAATGTGCACATTCGTGTCTTCATGAAAATAAACAGCTATGTTTAAATTCATTGCCATGTCTTTCTCACAACTAGAGCCTCACAGAAACCAATGTTACCTAGTAAGTAATAAAATCTTGTAGAAATGATAGATAATTAATAATACTATACTTTCCTGATGTGTAGCAAGCTAGGCTGACCAGTTGAAACCTGTGTTGCCAGTATGTTATGAAATGAAAACTAAAAAGAGGCTTTAATATGATTAAGGATTTATAAAGAGGGTTTTTTTATTAGGTTTGGCTGTGGCCTTTGGTAGTCAGGTTTTCTCTATATAAGATTCTAGGCATGTGGTGTAAGTACTGCCACAAGTGGGCACTCTTCTCCAAGCTAAATAGTTACCTCTTGCACTAGAAGGTTTCAGTTTATAAATTTCAACATGCATAATCTCTTGAAAAATTTGACAAGTATAAAATAAAGTATTATTCATTCAATCAGTACCAATTATTATTAAGTGGTTTAGCCTTTGACATTATCTGAGCATAACAATGATTCGGCATTCACCATATATTGCCTGTAATCTTTTTTTGCTTTCATGACGTCTTTGTATTTTTTCCGTTCCAGGAAAAACAATGCTATACTTCAGTGATAAAATATTAAGTGACTTTTTACTGTACTGAAAGTATTAAAACAGTAGTAAGAACCAGCATATGAATGCTACTGATACAGGTTGTATGATGTCAGCAGTTTTTAGTCACTTTCTTTCTTTTCTGCAGGCTGGATTTTTCAAGAGACCTCTAAAGAAGAAAATGGAGAAATGAAGGGGAAAAAAAAAAAAAGCAGAAATTTTTGCTCAGGTCTGCCTCAAAAATGTTACTGTAAAGTCATAAACTTAGATGTAATGGTCACAAAGTTTTCTAAACTCTGGCGCATTAGAAAAACAAGAAGCAGAACAACAAGAAGCAAATCAAGCACACATGCAAAGGAATCACGCAAAAGAGGAATAAACAGCCTTATCACAGTTTATGATACTCAAGGACATACTTTCAAGTGTTACTCATTTTTGAAGAGTAACTGAGTTCAAAGATTCTAACGGTTTTTTATTATGGAAATTTCATAATCATATTGTTATATACCTATGTATGTGGAATCATTTTTCATTCCAAATTATGCAACATGTCAGCTTGTATGTAGCAATCCCAGTCTTTTTTATCATCTTATGATTTTCAAAAGGAAAAAGTATAATTTTAAAAATTTCCTATGCATGTCAGTTCTGTGAAAGCAAAACATGCAAACTTCGAGAATGCACCAAGTACTGTATGACACATGACAATTCAGAAGATAGAAGCACCTGTAGAATTTCGAGTGAAAATTACTGAAATACCTTGGACTTCTCTTTCTGCTCATTAGTGCATGTCCAGCTGAACCCAAGATAATCCAAGAAAGAGATTTCTATGGTCAAGCAGGCCATGAAGGAGTGATCCATTAAATTACATAACTGTTTGAACTTGAAACATATTTTTGGCAGGCCTAAAAATGTATGCACAAAACATTCAAACCCAGCTGATTGCACATTGTACTCAAATAAGCAGGGGCACAATTTTATCTCCAAATCAGTATGTCCATATTTATGGAGAAAATATTTAGAGGTGCCCTGGAAGTTTGACTCTTGCTGTATATCTTGGAGTAGCCAGGAGGGTGCTTTATAAGCTATCACTGTAAATTTATTGTGTAGCTATTTAATCCAAGGAGTTTAAAGTGTACAAAATATAATTAACAAAAGAGCACAAATAGGAAATTCAGCACTGGCAAGCTTCTTCTAATATTATAAGTCACACCTCATCTTTGTTACTTATAAGTTAAGAAGTGATGAAGAATTTGCATACTAAATAAGCACTTAACAAATGATGTTTATTTTGTGTCAAAGATAAAATTTATATAAAAATACACTGAAATGTAGATAGCTAATATTTCTTTAAGAAAGTTTTCTTTCTCTCTTTTAGACTATTCAGTTTCCTCCTTTCTTTCACGCACTTATCTTCCATCCACAAGGATCTCCCTCTGGGGGTCCTGGGCTGTGCCTTGTCCTTGAGAGTTTTCTATAATACTTGCAGCCACACAAAATTAAGGGAAGAAAATAGAGGTGTGCTGGCAAAGTGTGGTGTTGCCTCAGCATGAGACAACACGATATTCATTGTCAATAGATCAGAAAATGTTGAGGAGATGTGCTAAGTTCTGTAAGATGTACTTGCTTGCAGGAAATCTTTGCCTTGCCTTGCCAAGGAAGCCAGGAACACTTGTTCCTCCTGTTGGTGCAGAAGTCACTGAAATGAAAAAAAACCATTGCAGTTTTCCAAAAGGTTTTAACTTAGCACTAACTTCGTAGTAATAGCTTAAAAAGCAGTAATATATATGTTTTTAAGATTTTTTTTCTTAAAGAAGAGATCATGTATTGGGTTGAACTCTGAAAGTGTGCCAAAAGGTGCTTTATTGTTTTGAAGATGCTGTGACTCTTAAGTCTCTTCTATTTATTCCTACATTAGATAGAGTAGTAAGAGAAGGGCAGTGGATGCAGCAAGTAGGATTCGTTTTGAAAGTGTTTGCAAGTTCTCCTTGTGTCTGTGAGAAAGGTGGTTAGCTCATAACAACAGTCATCTGAAGGTAGCAGCATGACTCAGAGGAGCTGGAAAAGCCTTCCGTGGGAACACCGTGGGTGGCTGCGCTTTGCGGAGCCTGGGAGAGCCACCGTCCCCGCCGACTCGCTTGTGGTGCTCATCTGCATGCCTGAAAGTGCACCCTGTCCGAAGGCATCTGAGGTGAGTTGCCCTGGTTCTGGACACAGGAGGAATACTTGAAAGGAAGTGAAAAATGACACAGAGGAGTTGTGGATAGAATCCCTGCTTCGTTCTTCGTGCAAGTCAAATAGTCCCCAAAGGAAGGCAAAAATCCATTCGTTGAACTGTGAAGACGAATTAATATTCACAGCAGTGTTTTCAGTGAGATGCAGGTTTTTTAAAAAGATGTACAATTTTGCTGATTTGTTTGAAAGGTTTAAATGGCACCATAGTATCTGAATGCCTTGAATTGTAAATGCTTAATGTGTAAGGAAAACCTTACAGTATCTCTGTAAAGGCATAGCAGTGCTGTTATCTTACTATGGGTTTGTAAAGGGACAGAATTATCAAGGAATTGTGACTCACCTGTGCACACGTAGAAAGTCTGTGGTAGCAGAGGAAATACTTATATTTATTATTATTATTCAGGCAGTTTGTTAACCATGAGATCTTTTTTCCTGGCTTCATAAAACTACTCACAAGTTGTGCAAGCCACACATCATTTTCATGCAGCATACTTCTATTTTGTTTAAGTGTTTCACATTTTAGTTATGATAAGGTGATAGTTAGAGCTTTTGGGTTTTCTGATGACATTTCATGTCTTATTTTAAACCGTTAGCCTAACTGAAAAAATATGTCAATAGAACAGTTTATTTCCCTAGATAAAAATGACACAAAAATGTCATTATTTTATCAATGCAAATTATTTTTGAGATCAGTGTTCCATTCTTTTGAGACTTACTTTGCACTGTAAAAACAGTAATAAGCTTCATATAACCACACTGCTTTCTTCTCTGTCATGATGCTTTCTTCCTCTTCACGTTTGTCCTATTATATTTCCATTTATATTATCTATTTAAAATACAAGTATGGGGATATCTGTGTACCAATATAAGGGGATACCACTATAACACATTATTCTTGCACAGGTTAAATTAGGAAAGTCACTATTTTTATCCGTAAGATAAATCCACACAGTGCTGCAAGAGCAGTATTTTGCTGCTTCTCAAAGTATACAAGAGAAAAACCTACTGAATGCAATATTGCAAACATCAGGAACATCCCACTGAAAACTGGCAGGCACAAAATATATCAGAAGAGCATGTAATCTCTTCTGTTCCTATAAAAAAGACACATTAAGGTTGAAAAATCATAGTAATGACTAAAAACCTAAACATGTTTTCATTCAAATAAAAACCTGTTTAAAAAAAAAAATAGATTGGGTGTGTAACCAGAGCTTAAGCAATGGTTGGAGTCTGGCCCAGCTCGGTTCCTAACTTCAGCACTGAAGTAGCTAATCTTAGAGGGAACAGGGAGGCTACATTTCTGTAGCATAGAAATTCTCTGGAAAGGAGTAAGAGCTTCGAACTATTCCTCCTGCTTCAATCTGAGGCTGTTCTAGAGGTTGTTGATCCCATATGTGGTTTCAAAAGACTTAGAAAACAGCAGCTACATGGGAGCAATCTCTCCAAGCTGCCGCTTACACTCCTGTGCTTGTCTAGTGTCACTCTAGGTCTGTGCTGTGAGCCCTTGCTACAGACACAACCCACCAATCTTGCCCCCTTACCTGAGCCCTTTAGTACTATCCTTGTGCTGAGTTATTTTGAGCATTGTGTTCCTCTTCTGCAGAACTTGAGTCAGGGGGATCCATCTTCATCTGGAGCCAAGGATTGTCTTCTCACTTGGCACCAAGAGGCTAGAGTTGGGAGTCAACTAATGAAATCTGCACAGTCTAATTGTTTTAATTTCTTGTATTAACTATTGTATGGATGGTGGTCCCATTAAAAAATAAAGGCAAAGCGAAAAGAATCAAAATGCACCATTGTTATTTATGCTACTCACAGGATTAAAAGGGAATTTGTATCCTTTTAAAGAAAATAAAAACATTCTACACAGTGTTTTTCCTGTAAAATTATTCCATGTCTTTTATTGATTAAAAAAATAAAGAATGTAGCAAGCCTCCTTTGTAGCTTTTTGCTTTTCATTGATAGAAAAAAAAGTATAAAAGCATCTCAGTACCTAAAAATAAATTCATCTACCTGTCAATGGAAAGCTATTGTAGAAATAAGCATTCTTGCATGACATAGTACCAGGGAAAGATCGATGTGGTCAAGTTCTCAGAAATCTATTGCCTTTAATTGTACATATTCTGTGCTTATACCCACATTTGAAAGCTTTTCAGAGGTCCATCACTTCCTGATGGAGATTTGTTTTCATGACATTACGTACATAAAAGTTGAAAACACATTGATTCATCTAACCATTCTTCCTACCCAGTGAATTTTCTGTACAACTTATTCCTGTAACTCGTCGTCTTGCACAGTAGTAACTTACTCACATCATCTTCCTTAAAGCCTAATAAACATTTCTATCATAGCTTCCTAGAAAACAAAGATTACACCTTTTATATCATACTTAACTTTTAGAAAGCATTACAAACTCTGTAATTACTTAACTGTTATCTCATCAGAGACTACTTAGATGGTGAATCACAATTCTGTAACAGCAACATCCTGTGTCGTCATAGGGGAGTGCTTAACCAAATGTCCTAATTTGTATATATCTGATCATCAGAGTTTGCTGGATGTTTTCCAGGCGAGCATTTCAAAGAAAATAAGAAAAAAAAAAAAAAAGGAGCCCCTTCTATTTTCGTTTATTATAAATTGCCTTTCAATGAAGTTAGAAAAGAACTGGTATAATTTTCTTACAGCATGAAGTATAGTACGTATCATTTGTACAAAACTGAAGTATAATTCATTGCATTTAGCATAAGCAGCCCTAACATCTCAAGAGTTCAAAGGCGATAGCAGTGGGTACGGTTTGAGCCTTGTAAGAGTGAAGAGTCATAAAGATTAATGCACTGGTGAAGTTTTAGTAACAATTGGCTAATGCCACATTTTAGACAGCAGTACTGGATTCTGTTTAAAGAAGTGGATGATAAAGTGAGCTGTCCTCAATGAAATCATGTCTGAATTACAAAGTCTGCGGGCTGACACCCCAGAGATACTGGACTTGGCTTATTCAGTAAAAAAAAAAAAGGGTGAGTGAAAGACCCTCAGGCAGATATTTCTTCTGACTCTAGTACAGAGAGGCATAGTAC